ATATTTACTGAGAAATATGGTGACGTGTTCAATACTTATTTTACCCGCTGTACATAATATTAAAATAAATTATTAAGTTATTATGCAAATAGCTGTATTTGCAAATATAAACAATGTGTTATCTAATGACAAAACTCAACATAAATAGTGTAATTCTTTCACAACTCTAACTTAAAGGCATAATTAAAGTAAGAAACAAGCCTGACAATTTTGATGTTTTTGTTAGTAATTAAGCTCAAATTTGTTGAGTAAAGCATGCAGAAAGTGCTGCGTTTACATCGAGTGTATATCTGCATTTCAATATATCTGGCAGACTAAACTCTTTCAAACTGCACCATTTGATTTAATTCATGTTAAACCTTTTTTTTACGTTTGATCCCAAAATTTGCACTCTTTTTAAAAAAAACACTCCACAAACCCTTTCCTAATCTGTGAACATAAGTATTAAATGACTCAGCTATGTGATGTTTACTCATTAACTTATTAAACTAATCACTTAAACAAATTAACCGTAGCTTTCTAAACATGTTAATAAATAACTACTAAAGTGCATAAAACCTTGAATCCTGTTTGAACTATAATRACATGACCCAGCACGATGGTATGAGTAGTTCATATGCATTTACAACAATTAAATGTTTATCTCACTCCTCGAACCATGTAATTAACATTTTATTACAAAACACCATAGTGAGCCCACGTGCCCTGTCACGTGTCTGTCACGCAAGAAGAAAGTTAAATGGCTTAAGGAGCTAAGTGATGCTGCTAATGTCGTCACCGGTGTTCTCACCGTATATCATGGCGAGACCCGTCTCATGGAGGAACCGAAACCTCCGGTGCTTGAAGAGCCATATTGTGAGAATAGTGAGCGTTAGAAGCATGATGAATATGAGCAGGTAGGCGCTGTCCTGTCGGTGGCTTTCCTCAGCCATCCTCTCCGTAACCTTATCCAGCCCGCCGCTGCTGCTGTCGCCGCCGCCTTCTTCGCCCAGGCTGCCGACGAGCAGGACCGACACCAGGAAAGGCAGCAGAAGGAGCCCCTTGGACGGTTTGACGCCTCGAAAGCGCCTCGGTCTGAATTCCATGGTGGCCTTRTGTGACAAAATTACATTTGACGTTAAAATCGGCGTTGGTTCGGCTAAAAGAAATCGCCTACACAGACAACGACGGCTCCTTCCGCAGCACTAATCAAAACACTGAGACTTCCGTATTTTCAAAATAAAAGTCGCTTCCAAGACCCGCCGTGCCTACAGCGACGCCTACTGAGCGGATGATATTTATAACTCATAAATTATTTTTAGTAGCAGTGGGAGCACCACTTTTGGTCCAATTTCCAATAGATTACTTTAAAAAATGTTCTATAAAATAGCATTTATACTACAACCTGTATACTTAAAGGACACTACAACTGAGATTAGAAAGGCTTAAAATRTGTGAATATTTCACCTACTGAGAAGGGTTTTCTTCTTCTATTCACAATCATAATTAATTTTTCCCAGGTTAAATTAAATCAATGTACCCATTTACCTCCAAATATTTGCAAACRCATTCTTCATCTAGAATGATACAGTGTGTGCAAAGGAATTCCTTTAGGTAAAATTAGCACTTGAGTTTCCTTTTTAAGTTCAAATTTAAAATGTGATCCCATCAATTTATTTGTTGATAATATTGAACATGCAGCAATAAATAAATAAATAAATAAATAAATAAATATGGACATAAAAACATAAAATACTCATTTAAAACAGCAATAGAATCAAATTACAAAAACTTAAAATTAACTGGGGTAAGCATCCTGAAAAGGTGAGTTTTTAGCCTGGCTTAAAAAGAAAAAAAGTCTGTTTCTTATTTCGGCTCTGCTCCCTATAGTAGTGAAGTGGGCAAGATATTAAAACTATCTGTTAACCAATCACTATTGCAGTAGCAATATTTTTTTTTTTCGTTTCATCGGAGCTAGTAAATAAATAATGTTGCTCTCAGAAAAACATTAGGATGATCATTTCTTTCTGAAACATTGTTCTYTTTGARATTTGCTTCTAACCTSCAGTGTTTTGGTTCTACTTCCTTTTAACKTTACCACTCAGTTTGCACTTTTTACACACATTTCATCAAATTTTTTCAGTCTGTATTTTTTTCTCAGAAAGTGCTTATTTCTCTTGTCACTTTTGATTACACACCTGCAGCAGAATATGATATATTTGTCTTCATTTCAGTTTATTTAAAATGTACCTCTGCTCTAAATTAAAAGCATGTCATAATTTCCATCAACACATACACTGAAAAATACCCTTATCAAATTCACTGGAAGGGAAATATGGCCAGCTGATAACAAGCAGAGGCGTGAGCGATGCAATCTTAAATGTTTTTTTTTTTTCAAATGGAGATTACAAGCTACTTTTTTTTTTATAAATAACTGAAACATGAAAGATTTCTTTATGCAATTTTGATTTGTGAGAAACTTTTGCATTGCCATTTATTTTGCTAGTAAATGCATTTTAACATAATTAAATGCTAAATTTAGCATTTGTACTTGCATTTCTGAGTAAAAATCAGGCATTGTTTTTTTCTGTGTGCTGTAAGATGTAGAACGAACCACATGAAAAACCCACAGTTGTACCTGTTAAGCCTCTGTTTTTGAAACGGTGTCCTGTGACAGGAAGCAAAAACCACACAACTTAGTTTAGAGCAGCGAAAACAGAAATAAGAGCGAATGAACRGCGCACATGTTATGATAAAAAATAAAACGTTAATGCTGTTGGTGAACCTTTGGAGACTTTGTGTATAAAACTGATGTAACTAGAAATTATCAAAATGTGTGTCCATGTAGGAGCATTTCCAGGGTTGAGTTCATTAAAAAAAAATATGGGGGGAAAAAGAAATGTACTGCTTAGAAAAACATTATACTTAAAATTCTAATAGTCTTGGAAAAATAAATGATCCTTTAGAGTCCTGCATTTCTTCTCAGGCCAAGTGTCAGTGACCTCWTTTGCTTACTGTAAAATGTCAWCATGTTTTATGATTTTRCTCTTTATCTTCTGTTTTCTCTCGGACAAAGTGTTTTAAGATCAGCACAATATCTGTTTAGAAGTRATCATTCTTGTTGCTGTTTTTCCAACATCATTMTTTCCTTGGCCCAGTTTGTCTGTTTGGATAACACATGCTGTATAAATGAGTGTATCTGAGGCGGCCTCAGTGCACACATTCTGTACCACTGCCTGTGTGACATGATGTGTGTCTTGCACATTGCAATAAATCCTGATTGGCCTTTCACAGAGTACTTTTTATTCTTGGATCTCGTGTTTCTGCCTAAAATAAACTTTTCCACGACACTAATAAAACACATTTGTTCAAAATATCAAATGTTTGACACCAAAATTAGAGGATTACAAATAGTTTTTTTTTTGTTCTTAAAGACCTTAACCCTTCTAAGATCAGGGCCCGTATTTATAAAACTTCTTAGAGTGGATTTTTAGACTTAAGTGCTGAAACTTTCTTAGATTTGCTCCTACTCTCAGACTTAAGTGTAAGTGCCAGTTATCAAAATTCTTAAGTCTAAGAATCACTCTCACTCTCAAGAAAACTTAAGACTGCTCCAGAGGACTCTTAAGTGGTTAAGAGTTGCCACTAGGGGTCTGGGATGGACTGAAGACAGAGATTACAGCTGTCCTCCTCCTCAGCTGAGTGTTATTCTCAGTTATAAGGTGTAAAACAGGTTTAATCAGAAATACAAAAGAAAGAAAAGTTAAAAAAATTAAAACTTCGCATAACATTGAACTAAAAGGCAGATATTTGTGTGTAGCTTTTGGATAAAATATTAAATATACTCAGCTGGTGAGTACATGCTGCGACCCCCCCCCCCCCCCCAAAAGAAACATTGAACTTTCATTTATTAAATTAACAATCACGCAATACAATGAAGAAGGGTGGGGGTGGGGCTCCTCTCGGACCAAGCTGTTAATGACAGAGCAGGTTTGTGTGTGTGTGAAGCCGGTGTTGTCTGACAGTGGGGAAGAGGAGGAGGGAGCTGCTCAACATTACCTCAGGCTCTGAGACAAAACACTTTAAAGCTGCTGAGTTTTTGATTAAAAAATGTTCTCACGATGCAAATGAGAACATTTTTTGTAATTTACAGACAACCAATACAAGGTGACAACATTAGTACTGTATGTTGAAAATGAACTCATTTTAGCATTTTCACAGTCTTATCTTGACATTTCTCCTACAATATTCTTGAACATACAATCTGAGGCAGTGATTGGTCCTTGCCGGTGTCTTTTCTAATGACATCATCCAGGATCAGCTTTGCGGCACAGCCAGGTGTCACAAATCAGCTCTAAGACTGACACTTAAGAATTACTCCTACATTTCGCTTAAAGTGAGACTGAGACGCTTGATAACTGACTTTTACTCTCAGCTTTTAACTAAGAATT